GGGCATATAATCGGACATCGGTAGGGGTAGTGGGGATGAAAACTCTTGGGGTGCTACGAATTCTTGCACTGGTGGCGGTATGGGCGTTATCACCGTCTCCTGAGGAGGCATCGACGTGTCCTGATCGGCCTCCATGGTAAAATGGATGGGCTGTTCTTGTTGCTCGCTAGCCCACGGCTGGCCAACGGCAGTGGCCTGCACAGCTGGGGTAACTGTTGAACCGTTAACCTCGTATCCTGTGCCGCCTCCGGCTTGGAAGCCACGAAATCCTCCGCCTTTACAAAACTCCCAAACCTTGCCCATTACCTGGCCTATGGTTTGCAAGCCGAGGAATCCCCATTTCGACGAGTTCGCCGAGTTCTGTTGTTGTGTGGAAGAGTCGACCTGACCCTCCATCTGAGACGACGGACCATCGGGGTCGTCATGGGCTCGTTTGGAGCCTGCGGCTCTCCTGTAGTCTAGATCAGAGTACATGCTCTCTTCCAGCCTACCGTTGACCGTGAAGGTGCCGCCCGTTGGGGTAGCATTCAGCTGGCCGGCCAAGTTGTATCTTGCTTGGCCCGCATCCGTCATTCCTGTCTCTGCCTTTCCGTCGTTCACGCCATCCACCTGCATGTTGTGATCGTTCGGGGTCGCTCCCTGGACACCCAATCCCAAACGCTTCCGCTTCGCATTTGCTTGTTCTGGTGTTTGTGAGGGGCTTGTCCCGTTGGACATGGCTATGTCGTCGTAGAGACTACCGTTGGACTTGCCGAGGTTGTGGTTCGAATCGGCCGGCGATGCTGGCGGCCGGAAGATCCCAGCACTTAGGGTTTGCGATGGGTTTTCGCCGCCCGGTTCAAAGTAACCACCGGGAAGGGAATCGGGGCCGAAGGACATGGTGGGTTGATTATCCAAGGTCGAGAAATGCGACGGGGTTTCATTCAATGAGCCGCCGATGCAGGTTGGGTAGATTTCGATGGGTCGCGGTGCGTTAAGACAGTTCTAGCGTTGGGGCTAGCCAAGTCAAGAATGACGATTCGATGACCGCAACGGTGACTGCGTTGCTGAGTGGTTCGTTCGGTCCAATGGTTGTCGAGTCTGGATGCTGTGCTTGCCGCAGGAGCGTCTCTGCATGGTAATCCGGCGGCCAGGGTCCAATTGTGCGTCGCCCAGACTGCTCAGAGGGGTCCAAATCAAAATCTCGGCCCTGTTTTTTTTCCCTCGGTGATTGTTTCTTCGGACGATCGTGGACAGGTGCGCACGAGTTGGAGCAAGGAGGTGGCCGCGGCGAGGCGCGCGATCGCGGGGTAAACGATATCAGGAGCCTGAGCTATCGATTGTCGAGCACTGTGAGCCCTCACCCAACTGCTCGGGGTGGTAGGAAAGGCGGCCGTTTGGGGGCAAAGTTGTATGAAAGGAATGTATGCGGGTGTCTCCCCAAAGTCGCACAGACTCAAGAGAGCAGAGGGCGATCAGAGCTGAGACGGAGAGACAAGAAGTTAGAGACAAGCCCAGGACGACTCCTTGGAATCGGGACCAGGTGTAGGTAGTCGGTGAGAGATCGGACGGCGATAACAGCCTTTGGAGGGAAATATGTATGCGACGCGCAGCGCGAAAAGAAAAAGGACAGTTGGGTTTAGTGTTGTTTCCCAAGCGTCGGATGGACACCAGGCCGACAAATAGTTGTTCGGAGAATCGAAAAAAAAAAGTGAACCACGGCGTCGAACACTCTCTCAAACCCAGCCACGGCAATCCAGATTGCGTGAATGTGGACGGGGTGTCGGATTATCGGAGAGGGGGCGGTCAACAATTTCGAGGCTTATCGTAGCTGAGCGCAGGCTTGGCTGTTGTATGATCGCCTTCCAGTTCAGTTGTGACGGCTGCTCTGCTTCTGACTGATCAAGGTTTGGACCGACCGGAACCTTGGACTGGCGCAACAAAAACCGAGCAAGTCAAAGGTCGACTGGTTGAAGAGAAGATGATGGTTGTCAACTCAAGCGGCTTTGAGCTCACGGCAAGGTGCGATCGATATTGATCGCATGAGGGTCAGGAAAGGGGAATCCGAACCTGATCAAGGGGTCTCCTGATCAATGACCGGGGCGAGGATCCCGTTCTGGAGATGTGAACGAAGCCCCTCACCCCCTGCAGTTGGCGAAGGTCAACAAATCTGAACTCCACGGCCTGCGCTAACCAAACAGCGCTGTCACGGGCCGTTGGCGCGGTAAGTTCAGTGGGGTTGGCGCAGCGGTTTGGGGGCCACTACCCGGCAGCCGACCAGCACGGGATCACCTTATCGCCGTCATAGAGGTAACATCTTGCCTGGTACTGGGGTGAAGAGGCAACTTGAAACCCAAGGAAAAAAATAAAAATCGTAATTTCTAATGCTAACGTTGCCGTTCTATCAGGTATGCTAGATTAGCTAATTCATGCTTCTCTTGTATGATATCATGATGGTGGCGTAAACCGTCCGATTCCGCCTGGGTATTCCATACAAATCCACGTCGAATGCGACAGCGCCCTTTCAGATGCCATAGGTAACCACAATCCCATGCGAACGCCTAAGATCCCATAACTCCCATCCACTCCACGAGTCTTCCAATGCCGATGTAAACAGCGAAAAGTGATTTCAAGATCATTGGCCGTCGGCTTCTACTCCTTCCGCCCATGGCCGGCATAGTATGCCTCTTGCATCTGCTCCTTTTCCTGTGTGATGACTCCTTCATCACCCCCGTCACGACGAACATGCTCCTTTCCCGCCCAGAATTCTTCGCGCTCCTTGATAATCTCATCCGCCCAAGCCCTCATCTCGTCAAGTCCGACCTTGGTCTTGACAAAGGTGAACTCGCCCAGGTCAAGCTTGCCCTTTGCGCGCTTCTCGTACTCCACCATCTGCAAGAGTAGTTCGATCTTGTCAATGTCGTGGACAAAAAGACTTTCGAGCGTCTTCGAGTCCTCGTATTCCTGCCAGATGGCACGTATTTGCTCGCCCTGCTTTCCACCGTCGACATTGCCCAACAACCTCTTTGTGATGTAGTCCATGGTCGAGGCTTCACGTCTGTTCTTCTCCGTTTTTGGGACGTTGTCAACTGGGGTGATGTCGCCGACAAGGGATTCGGCCATGTCGTGGATCAGGGCCATCTTGATGCACCTGTTGACGTCGATCTTCTCGGCAAGGGAGGCGGGGGCGAGCATGGTCATCATGGACATTCTGTACATGTGGTCGGAAATGGACTCTCCTCTGTGAACAGTTGTCGGTTAGTCCACTATAACATGGATGGCTTTGGAGTCAAGGCAAGGCGCTTACCGGTTGATGGCAAACCGCGTCCATCCCTCGCGCTTGGTAGTCTTGAGGCGCTCGAGGAGATGGAAGTAGCCAATTGGTGAGTCGGATCCTTCAGCGTATTTGCCGGTGCTGATGGTCTCAACTGCCTTGTCTACCGTCCAAGTGCCCTCCACCTTGGGAACGGGAACAATTCCCAGATCTGACCTTCATAATCAGTACGTGTCTTGGGCGACAAGACCTCAATGCGTGATTGGGGAAGTGGTGGCGTACCTGTCTCGACGACGTCATTTGGCTTGATGTCGTTCTCGGTTGGGCTCGATGACATGTTCGTGGTCGCTGGTGTGAAATTTGTATGGGTCTCGTTTGTATACAGAGGTTCGGTTCGCAAGGTTGAGCGTGTGGTTCGTTGACGCAAGTCTAAAACCGTGATGGTAAAATGTGAGCGAAAGACCTAGATCGGTGGCGCTTGCTTGCTAAAGCTGATACACACCGGAATATTCAACTACTGCTGAGATTCAAGCGGTGGCTTTCTTATCTGGGCAATCAATGTAAACAGAAATCAGAGCCTCAACAAGGGAGAAGAGGGATCAAAGTGGACAAGACGGGACGGTTTTGGTGACAACCACACAAGGCTGACAGCGCATGTCAAACAAACACAATCGCCCACCACCTATTGGTGGAGGAAATCCAAGTGGACCCAAAGGGCCCCTGGCATTCAGGCAACCGTGAGATTTGATTGGTGCGCATTTGTCGGCTGCGGGCCGACCAACAGTGATGTCACTTTGCACCTTCCTTCCCTTCCGTTTCATGTACAGCAGCAGTGCACCGCCTTTAACCGCGCAGCCGCAGTCCTTTTCACTTTTGTTCCTGAAATCCCGGATCAATATCACCCTCCATGGTATCGGGTGTAACCAAACGCCCTCTTTGTGCCACCGAGTTGCTTTGATATTGGCTTACTGTCCTATCAAACCTACGAAAACACTTGCGGCTAACGCTACATACCTATCTGGGACCATGTCAACCAAAACCAGGCCTCAGCCCAGTCTAGTGTACACTACCTTGAGGAGCTCCCCCCAGCTTACAACCACCCACTGACCGCCGTGAGGAAATAAAACATCCCAGCAGTCGATCTTTTCCCGCGCGGCCCAGCCCATTTAGTATATCTAGCCGCTGTGAGGAACCGAGATTAATCCGGCTTGACTTGCCTTGTCTTGTTTCCACCAAGCTGCTGTTGGTGAAGGTTGCTTTGCGGATATTCAGCATCAGGACCCTGAACATACGGCATAGAGTGGTAATCCACCCACTTGGAATATCTTGAAGAACCGTGTGGTCGAGTAGGAACTGCCCAGCAGCAAGGTGAAACCTCATTTCAAACAACTTCATTCTGACCAAAAGTTCTCAGTCAAAAAGCAACTTTACGAGGTCGAATAATGTCACATAACCCACAAATTATACATACCCGTCCAGAAGCACTTCCTGCTCAGTCTTCATCCGTTTGGCCTTCGGGCTTGTTGCCTTGTTCATCCCTAACCCTCCGTCTCATTCCCTCCTTCCCATTCTCTACATCACCATCAACCGCACTCATTTCCCGCTCTTTTCCTTTTTATCATTCCCTCCAGCCCATCCCTTTCATTCCTCGCATCCGTACTCTGGAGCATTTACCCTATCACTACTGTCTCTCCCTTCCCCTCTCCATTTCACTCACTCCCTCGATTCTCAAACAACTCAAGCTCATTCAAACCACCGTGACATTCCCAGGATAAGCACCCACCAAATTCCCCCTAGGCGAAAACTCGCAATAAAACCACCAATCCTGGTTCGGATTCTGCACGCACCTGTTGGTGCTAAACGCGCACCCGATTCGTGTACTCGCCTTCCACACCGTCTGCGTAAAGTGGCCGCCGCCCAGCAGGTCACCTTGTTGGTAGGCGGAAATCTCCGCCTGGGAGGTCCAGGACTTAAAGGCGTTGGTGACGGTGGTAGCAAAGTTGGGGGTGCTGGTTGCCGGAATGGTCCACCACCAGTAGGCGTTTTCGCCATAGGGGCCCTGTGCGGTTGGTTGGTTGGTTAGTGAGAAGATGGGTTGATGGGAGGGGAGGATAGAAGGATGATGAGGTAGGAAGAGAGGGAGAGGGAGAGAGAGACTAAAGTCGAACTTACAGTATGATTGAGCATACAACCGTTGGACTTTTTCAACGCAAAGCTCGCAAGCGTGGCATCCCAAGCGAGGGGGTTGGCCTTGAACTTGGACCTAATGGGGTTGACGGTATTAAGAACGTTCTTAATAAAGGTGGTGTCGGTTGGGTCAGGCGAAGCACGCTTGAACAGATGAGCGGCGGCCTCAGCGGTGTCGTGTTCAAGAGCCGCCAAGTCAGCTTCAGCTGCTGGGAGGGCGATGACGGATGTCGTCGCGGAGAGGAAGAGAGCCGTGATGGCGAGGATGGATGAGTGAAGCATAGCTGCTGCTGCTCTGTTTCCTGGTTTCCCGGTTGTGTTGCTAGCTTGGGCTTTGGGATCTGACGTAGGTACTGAAGGGATTTCAAACTGATCTTGATGAATCGCCTAACTTGATGCGATGTCCTGTGCTGGTGTGTTGTCAGCGAAGATGTGCAGGGGCCGAGCAGACTATTTAATCATCTATGTGCTTCAAGTTCAGCTTCCTTGTCTCTAATATCCCCTCTTTGCATTCCTCCCTCCTCTCTCGTTGAGTCCTGAGCTCATATTTCTCACGCCACACACCCACACACGCTTCCTGAAACGATTTCGTGGCGCGGCTCACGGGAATGAGGCATGTCTCGCGTATGATCAGCTCCAAGACAATGAGCCATACACACCATGTTGCCTCGTCATTCTCCCCATGGGGAAAGTATTGACGACCTGGGGGATATTCTTCTCATCCTTCCTGCGACGTCACGCACTTGTGAGCTTTACCCATCTTGTTCCTCCAATTAACCTTGGATAGAGGTAGTCATCATCATTACCTATTCTTTGAAATGACCGCGGGCTGTTGTTGTGAAGGTGGTGTGCGGGCAAAAACACGATTCACCGAGAATTTTACTGATGTCATTTGAGGACGCGACTACGTAAGTGGTTGGTATTGAGGTGTGGTAATTTCTACTGATCTAGGTCTAGACCGCGGACGGTTGCTGTGATATTGACGGCTCGGTCAGAGAGCTTTGCTGGATATTGCCCCAGCTGCCCTCGTTTTCCTTTATGACAATATGTCGCCGCGAGAAGATTGGGGTAGAGCAGTATATCTGTCGTCCATCGGTGTCGTCACTGCGAGCACGGAAGTTGAGATGTCCGGAAAAAGACGAGAAAGAAGTTTCGGTAATGATCGACTTGCTTATGCTGAACGTTGAAGATCCGAATGCGAGCTCGGTAGGTGGCCCTGCAGTTCAGCCAAACAAATGGGGCAAACGAGAAAAGGCTACGGAAAAAGACTTTCAGAGAAAGCTTATACATTGATATTCCTGCATCGGGCTTTTTTTTCCCTCTGGGAATATCTAGAGGACATGTAACTAGGGACCTATCACGAGACCAGATCTAATTCCATCACAAGCACGCCACCGGAGACAAGAGAAATCCGAGATTGCAACTTCAGATTTTCACCGGAGCTGCGTATTTCCGGACGCTTCTCGTCATTGTTTCCTTGGAGAAGCAACGACAAGTCAGTCATCAAGCAAATGTCTTGCGGAACTTTTCCTCAAACTCCTGTCGAAGTACCGAGAAATATCGGAAGACCTCCATCAACGACTGACCGTCGTCGTCAGCCCATCTGGGCGCCTGAGGGTAACCAGAGGCTGAACCAGACCACGAAGTACCGTGACTGGCCGTTTTCGTGTCCTCCTCTGTGTCTTCATCGCTGCCCTCGTCATCCCATGACTCGGCAACCACTTTCTTTTTCGCCTTGGTCTTTTTCTGTTCCTTCTGCGGTGGTGGAGCGGGAGCGCCGCAGACATCATGCCTTATCCCATTCCCCTCATCTCCGCTAAAGATAGGCCTATCATCATCTGCCATCTCAATCTCGTCATCCTCCTCCTCAAATCCGAAATCACCATCAGCATTTGGAAGCTCCAGAAAATTGGCAAGGCTCGTCACAATTGAGGAAAGAATGAGCGAGAAGTCCTTGAGGTGGTACCAGATATCGCCACCCTTGATCATGTTGACATGCTTCAGTGCTTCCATATCTCCATGCTTGAAGAAGTCATAAAGGTAGGCGTTCCAAGGTACTCCATTCGTTTCCTTTGGTGCCATCGGAATGTACGGAACTGCAGACTCTTCAAGGAAAACGCCTGCGCGGACAGTCTCGCAAAGCTCGTGAATAGTGTCAAATTCGTCCGTGAAGCCGGAGAGTGCAGAGAATGGAGATCGAACAACCGTGGCCGGCCGAGGTGAGTCAGACGAGGGGAGTACAGTTGAAAGGTCCGGCGTTGGTTGAGCATCGACAGAATCAACCTTGTACTTGGTATAGGGGAGACAGTTGTCCGGCATCCCGGTCAGATGTTGATTGGTATAAGAGCTGACATAGTTCTGGAAAATGGACAAGGTCTGCTGATTGTGGCGCTCTAGGACCTCACTTGCTTTCCGGGGGAGATCTGGGAGAATTCCAACACACGGAGAGCGATGTACACGCTCGAGGAACTGCTTGTCTTTGTATTGGGGGCAAGCGTGGCGACAGAACAAGTGGCTCAAGACAAGCATGATTTCAAGGATGACGTCTTCCCGGCTTCGGTCGCTATTACTGAGGTCGTGAAAGTATCCGTCCTTGAGGAGGGCATGGAATGCAAAGACAGCATTCTCTGTGTAGTACAGATGTCCCACAAGGCCAGAGAAGTTAAGAGGAACACCATTTTCGGATAACAGGTGTTGGCGCCTGAGGTAATCAATCGAAAATCTGAGATGATGTGCGATCGACATTTTTGCATCAGGTCCGCCCAAGCAGAGTCTGCTTTGTGTCAGCAAACCCTTTACAGCGTTGGCTGCAAACTCAGAGTTCTGCGTTCCGTGTAGAAGGATGAAGAGCCGTAGGATGAGCGTGACCGATGTTGGAAACTGCCCGCGAAGATCCGGGAGCCTCGCAGACATTATTTCAAAAACCCGGTGCGGATGGAGGCCATGAAAGACAACGTTTCCAAGGAGGTCGAAGCCACGCCGACCAGCACGACCCGAGGCTTGACGGTAGTTGAGAGCGGTCAGGAAAACTGAATCGCCGGTGAAGACCACTGTTTTACAAGGCATGTTGAGACCCATGGCAAGTGTCCCGGTTGCGACGACCACAGTCAAATAACCTTTGCGGAAAAGCATCTCGACTCTAGCAGCACGGATCAGTCAGTGAGAAAAAAATGTCAAGGATGAATTCGTTGAACCAGTGAAAAGACTTACATCTGTCTATATTGGCGGTTCATCCCTGCATGGTGTACGCCGATTCCTCGGAAGAGAGCATCTCGGATCCAAGGACGGACGGCATCCGCCCTGAGTGACTTCAATCGCGTATTCAGCTCTTCCTGTGTCAGTTTGGTGTTATCAGCAAAGCTGAATTGCTGAAGGGGGGCTTCTGGGTCGAAGCTGTCCCAAACGCTCAGTTCTCGATTTGCTGCGTCACGGGCTCGGTCTCCTTTACTCATTGCGCCATCGTCGTCCTCATTTCTCGAGCCGGTCTTCTTGGTTTGCTTCATCTTTGTGTCCTTCGTTTTTGCGCTCTCATGGCGTTTCTTCCATTCTTCGAAGCCCACCAGCTTTTTAAGCCACTTTGAATCGTGTTGCTTGTATGCTGCTTCCGCGGACTCAAGAGTGTCGTAGAGTTCTCGAAGAACAGTCTCGCAGCCAGCCCGGTCGTAATTGAAGATGATGGCAGGCAATGCTCCGTGCGACCTAAGACCAGTCACAAGTGAGAATATGGAACGTCTGGATACAATAGGTCCAGATTGACTAGGCTGGTATTCGATGGATTCGGGTTGATTGTACGTTGATGACAGGCGAGCAAACTGTTCTCCACGCAAATCGTTTCGAAGTTCGTCGAACGGGGAGTTGGGGTCAAGCATCCAGTCAGCCAAGACGTCCTTGAGAGCCGACTCCCATCTTGTAACGTCGGATTTTTTGACGAGTGACGGCAACATTTTCTTAGGATCCAGGGAGTTTGGAACTTGATACTGGCCAATCTGATGTTTGGTCATGTGTTTCCAAAGCTCGATACAGTCTCGAGGTTCAAGACTGGCATCGTTAAGCGTGTCCCGGCTCCTGTTATTTGTGAGTTAGCATGAGAACTTACTGTAGAGGTATGACAATACATGATCGCACGATATTACTTACCTATCCATGATAGCTGCGATTGGGTGTATAAACGAGAATGGCAACGGATTCTCGCAATCAGAATCGAGTCCAGGAAATGGGAGACGTTCAACGGGTTTGAGGCCTTCGAATTCATATGAACCGGGAGACGGATCATGGATGAACTTGCGGAGGTCTGAGTACCTGGATGAATGTACCACCATCTCCATATCAAATCCCTTGGCCTTCTGTGCATTGGAAAGCCAGTCTCGGAATTCGAGGGGGTTTCCCACGGTGGCCGATAGCGCAATGATGGGACATGGTGCAAGCAGCAAAAGCTGCTCCCAAACAATCCCGTCTTCAGACTGGCCGATACAGTGAACCTCATCGAAAATGATTCTCTTTATTCTCCGGGAAAAAGACGTTGGGCCTGCTGCATTGGAAGGAGCCAGCAGAAGAATCTGCAAGATATCCGGGACGGTTACAAGGATTTGGCATCCCTTCACATTATTGATGCGGTAATCCCTAGTATGGATAGCCCAGACAGACCGCGCTTCTTGGCCATATTGCTTAGAAAATCGGGCTTGGATCTCGGCGGCAATTTGGTTGACGAGAGCTTTGGTCGGGGCAATGTACACCAGTACATCGTTGTTGTTGGCTTCGAGAACCTTCCTCATAGCGTAGAATGAGATGAAGGTCTTGCCAGCCGACGTTGGGGCAATCACGAGCAGACTCTTGTTCTCATCGATAGCGTCAAGTACCTTTCTCTGCCAGGCATCGGGCTCAAAAGGCACACGAGAATCTGGGGCCGAGTCGAAACTTCGTTCAAAGAACGGTCCACAAAATCCGAGCTGGAAGTCGAGCGAAGACTTTCCAGGAGGCAGTAAACCCCCGCTTGCAATATCCAGGAACTCAAATGGCAGCTTTCTCTCTGAAAGGAGTGCCGGGATCTTGTAATGGGGGAGTTCGAGAGACTTTGAAACTCTGTTCACAAGTGTGTGGACTTCTTTAGTCATGGTTATTTTGGCGGTCTCCTGAGTTCGGACCAAAGCATGGCCAAAACATGGCAGTCTATTTGCATAAGAGTCAGCGCCCGATTGAAGAATGCTGAAGTGTACAGACAGCCTCCAAGGTTATCACTTACGAGTCAGCGTGTCCGGGTTGTAGCGACCCTGGATTTGGCGTAGAATATGGCAAAGATACAGGGAGACTTCCGCCCCAATCACAGACAAATGGTCTGGACTCAAGCCCAAGAGATACTTCTCGACCAGCAAATATCGCTTAACCAGAGATGCCTCCTTTGAGAACTCGAGACACCTTTGTTCCCAGGAGGTGATGATTGCCAGCGATTTGACCTTGAACTTGGCTTCCTTGCGCCGTTCTACCTCTTTATGAGCGTATTGCGCGCCGCTTATCTCCAGGGGTATGTTGGAATTTGCCTGTTTCTTGCCCTTGTTCAATGCATGCCTGTTAGCGGACTTGCTTTTTTCGACCGAGTCGCGTACAACAACGATTTCTGGTTCGATAATCTTTCCAGATGCACCGGTAAGACTAGCAGAGTAGGCAATGATGTCGGCCATGAATCGTTGGTTTCGTCGTCTTGCCCAAAAGTCAGGAGCCTTGGTGGGCTGCTTAGGGTCAATTGGCTTTTTATTGTGCCAATGCGTCAGCTCTTTGTGCACTTTGTGGTCAACTGGAGAGGAGATGACAGCATCTGTACGTAAGTGCACTGAAGTAAGATACTTGTCCAGAACGGGATGGCTGAAAGGCAGTATCGACAGCGACGGTACCAACTGATTAGGTTGGGGATCGCTGATCTTCAAGCGAGCTTCTTCTCCATCGGTATTCGTCAGATCGACCGGCCACTTTGCAGTGGCATCGTAGCCACAGAGATGCTCGAGTAGTCCACCGAGCTGGACGAACTGTTCGTGAAGAGCGCAGGACAAGTGTATGTTGTGTGAAGAACGTAGCAATGCCAGGTAGAACCGCCCGTCAAAGAGATCAAATGCATCCCATGCTGAGTTTGCGAATGGTCCTGAACTCCACGAGCCAAGAATGCGTTGAGCCGGCCCAGACAAGGAACAAATGAAGGAATTGGCCGCGCTGCCCAACTCGAGTCCCGATCCCCGCGACTCAAAGCTCCGGCTCGAAACATTGCAGTGTCCCATGAACACTAGCTGGAGGAGCAGCGCTCTAACGTGCTGCCCAATCCCGTCGCCCTCACTGGCATCGAGCGCATGGTTGGCAAGCACATGAGCCAGTGAGTATAGGGATATGATTTCTCGAGCAGTCAGGCTGTGTGTCTTGGCGAGTCCTCCAAGACGATGTTGAATGTTGTCCTCCATGAAGGAGGTGTCGGGAATTGGAGAAAGAGTGTCGCCATTGAGCGGTCTTTGCGCCCCTCTGGGAGAGGCTACCAGTAGGAAAGCCCTTGAGCTCTTGAACTCCAGATTCTCAACGCACGCGATATGCAATCCTGCTGAATTGATACGGTACAGCATGTGAAGAGGCATCAGAAGCTGCGGGCCACCCGTCCACCACGGCGTTGTACCATTGGATCCCAAGAAAAAGTGCGGATGATGTTCTTGGAGATATTGAGCGAAAGAATTGCTGTCCAGGCTCGTGAATACAAGACTGAAAACGGTCTGTTTGTCAGTCTGTGCGTGAGCGAAGTGCTCAATCAGGATGCTTCGAGTGAGCTGGTATCGGTACGTGATCTCGGCTGGGGCTTCCGTGGGGATGGACAGTTGATACTCTCGATTGAACCAGAGGACGTGAAAATTGCATCCTCGATCATGCAGCCTCTGGAGAAGAGTCTCGACTGAATGAACGGCATGAAGAATCTGGAAGCCGTCTGTACAATTAACCCGTGGTTAGCAATGAGGACAAACCCTAGAGATGAGGGACGCGAATGGGGTCAAACACACAGTCAAAGTCGACTTTCATGGCATGAAGACAATGTGCAAGCAAGGCTTCTCCATGAATGGCAAAGCGCTCTTTGCCGGCGAAATCGCCGACAATGTCAACCTTTGTCGGGGACAGCGATCGGAACCAGCTCTTCAGGCGGTCGTCGCCAGTGTCTGTACCATAACCAGGCGACTCGCTGGAATTATCGGGACCAGCCATTCTGGCCAGATTCGCAAGTGCCGCTTCGCAGAATAAACAGACTAGCTCGCCGAGTATCGGTGACAACGGGACCTTCGGGTGTAGCTTAGAAACAAGGCAAGAAAGCCTACTCTGTGTGCAAGTTGCCCTTACGACGAGATCTGGAATGATCAATTCGGCTGTTCGATGTTGGAGGGAGAAAGACGAGTAGTCAGATGAGCCGGGTGAAGTGGTGGGCTAGGTAGCAAGGTCCATTATATAGTGTTGGGTGTCCATTTCTGCCTGGATGTTGAAGGTCCGGGACGGTACACTTACACGGAAGGTGTATCGCCTGTCCTGATACGGCTAGGTAATTTCCCTGTATTCTCTACCTTTTGATACCTCAAGGAACAGATACCAACAAGCAGACCTGTACATACTTTACCTTGGCCTCTAGGTAACAACACCAAAGCTCGGCTCCATAGGTACACGCTATGAACCTGAGCGGTAGGTATGGCGACGGTAACAGTACAGCAACATTGCTTCGCTGGCTGGTATGGCGTGTCTCGCAATCATCTCTCAATAGGAACATCCCAACCTGGCAGCAGACACTCAGCAACAAACTTATGCATTCTGCCAGAGGCCAAACAGAGAACTCCCATTGGGGTTGAAGCGGTTGGCTGGACCATATATCTCCCCTCCACCGATCCTGATTTGCGCGCTTGTGTTGGCAAAGGCAGGCCGCCGTCACATCACTCGACGATAATGCCGGTAGCTCACCCGGACGTCCATCCGTAGCAAGAGGCCCGACCTTGGCCGACAGCGACACCGCATAGCTCCTACATGGAGCTCCAATGATCGGCTTCGTACTTCAAGTGACTTTGGCTGAAGTGAGGGCCTCTCGCAGGCCGGCTGCACACATGTAAGCACTCAGTTCGACTTCTCCACTCTCGGAACTGCCCGTTGGGCAAAGAATGAGAAATAATTGAACTCAATTCTGTGATAACTGGGTCTTGCGCGGTCGGGATGGTCTTGGACTCCATGATTGGCAGTGGACGGAAAGGAGACTTTCTCGTGAATTGACGTTGAATTTGGCGGCGTATAAGTCAATACATACAGTACTGTACTGCCCGCATACCTCTAGTGCCACCAGCTGCCAACGGCCCGAAATCACAGCTCTACTTGTATGCTGCCAAGGATGCGGGGAATAACTCGAATGCCATCGTGTTCCCGGTCAATCGTTGATTGAGACACTCAGTTTATATCATGAGCTGTTTGTGTCTTGCAACTCTGGTCTGATCCTTCAAGTCGACCGTACTACTTGTACAGTATTATGCATCGCCTCGGTTGATGAGTGTTTGGAAGTTGATGTTGGTGTTAGTGTTCCAGTTAAAGGGATGCCAGGCACCAACCGACTGCGGCTGTGTGCCGCTCCACCCACACATTGCCCCCTGCGGTAGTCTACCTAGGTACCTATCTATGCCCCCGCCCTGACAGCGCTGATGGTGCCACGAACCGAACAACCTAACGAACAGCCCAGACACGAAGGAAGCTTGGCCGTAAACTATCGGGAGAGGAAGTGGAAGCTCCCGCTCATCCCATCGCGCAGTAGAGAGAGGTAAGCACCACTGGACTCGCTGTCCTCTCGAGCCGCACACCTTCGCAGGACTCCGGACTCTGTACTGTACGTTCTGCAATGGCTCTCGGCCACTGTCCGCCGACTTCATTCACACATCTTTCAGTGTCTGCGCTCGAATGAAACGAACGGCACCATGCCGGTGACCTTGCCTCGATCGCGGTTCCAACGCCAGCTCGTGTCGCGGTCCACCATCCGGAAGCTGATTGCCGCCTTCATCGTATGGACCATTGTCGAGGCTCAGCTCATATACTACCGAGTCGCCCATGCCGAGCGAGACACCCAAGCCCAAGCTACGACGCTTCTCAAGCCGACCCGTGTGTACATTGCGAGCCTGCACTGGAACAACGCTGCCATCTTGCGCTCCGACTGGAACAAGGCGGTCGTGGACCTGACCAAGGCTCTGGGTGCTGACAATGTCTTTGTCAGTGTCTACGAGAGCGGTAGCTGGGATGATTCCAAGGGTGTTCTCCGGGAGCTGGACCGCGACCTGGGCAGACTTGGGGTTCAGAGGCAGATCACGCTCGACAAGGAAACGCATCAAGACGCCATAGACGCACCGCCAGCCGAACATGGATGGATTACTGCCCCTAGTGGTGAAAAAAGGTTGAGGAGAATACCTTACCTGGCTGGCATGCGGAATCTTTCCCTTCAACCACTGCTGAACATGGCAGAGAACGGGACCACATTCGACTACGTCTTGTTCTTGGGCGACGTGGTGTTCTCGGTGAGTCTTGTTGGTCACTTGCGCCTGTCTTCAAAATCCCCTCTCTAATATTCTTCTTTGCAGGTTCCGGATATCGTGGCTCTGCTAAACACAAACGACGGCCAATACGCTGCAGCGTGCTCGCTCGATTTCAGCAAACCGCCTCGCTTCTACGACACCTTTGCCCTGCGAGATTCAGGTGGTCATGAATACGCGACCCAGACCTGGCCGTACTTCCGGTCCTCCAACTCCAGAAAAGCGGTGCTCCGCGGTGCTCCCGTGCCAGTGTCGAGCTGTTGGAACGGAATTGTCGCAATGCACCCGTCTGTCTTTACTGGAGTCCAAGGCCTCAAGTTTCGGGGAATCGACGACACACTGGCCGAATACCATCTGGAGGGCTCCGAGTGCTGTCTCATCCATGCGGACAACCCGGCGTCACGTACCAGGGGCGTCTTCCTTAACCCCAACGTCCGCGTGGGATATTCCAGAAAGGCGTACGATGCAGTGCATCCGCCAGGAGGCTGGCTTTCTCTGTCCCAAGTCTTTTCTGGTCTGTGGAAGAACAGGGTCGCAAGATGGCTTACCACCCCTCTACTCAAAGAGTTGCAGGTTCGCTGGCGTATTCGCAAGTGGGCGGAGAAAGCGGAAGGTCGCAAGGAACCTGGACCATTTTGTCTCATCAATGAGATGCAGGTCATTGTGCACAACGGATGGGCTCATTTATAGATGGTAGGGGACTTCTTGGATAGACAAATACTGATCAATTTACGTTTCTGCTAAAGGCGATACTAGGGGCAATACTAGTCTGTCGGTCAAAGCTCTCGGCTGTTGTTGGCGCGGTTGGCTCGGAAATAATTCGCTTTTTGGGTTTGTTTATCTCTGGACCCTCTGCGAGTGGGCCGTCACTTTTTGTCCATGTCCGGTCTATGTACGACATGATGATATCACCACTTCGTTCTCCAATTGGATCCGGGCAAATCCTCCACCCAGTCGCAGGATATGTTGCAGCCGTAACCCTGTTACTCAGCATAACGGCCTCACGATGCACAGCATCCCCTTTGAGATCAAACAAGCTACTTTGGTAGACTAGCCTCTTCTCGGCACGCTCGGGTCAAGGTCCGGCAAGGCAATCGCTCCCACCCCGCGGATCGGGACATCTGGGCGAGCTACTCTGGCAAGACCCATATCCAGATCCTGCCATTGACTGTCCTCTCGAAGGCCAAACAAGAATGCGCCTGACGCGGCTCCATCAACGGCGTTGCTACTAATGGTCGTGTGGGTTATGGGGAGGAGGGAAAGAGGGAAAGAGGGGAAGAGGGGCATATGTATACCTACCTATTTGACCATTTCCCCTCTCGACGGAGGGCCGTGTCTCTTCTCTCTCCTTCTCCATAGCTACCTTGTCTGTCCAACAACACTGAACTCACGGCTCGCTCTTCAACATGGCACCCGCGGAGCCAAACGCACCCCCATTTCGCCCAAAGGGCAAGTTGCCCCATTTCGAGGATGAATTGGAAGATTGGAAGGGATACATTGAATGGGAAAAGTATCCCGAGAAGAAAAAGCAGGTGGAGGAGATCCTGAAGCAATACGACTTTCCCGACCCTCCTGAATTCCAGCTTGTTCCTTTGCCCAAGACGAATCCCATCTTGACCGGAGAGCGGTTCAAACAGTACCACTATGCTACGGGCCTCGGCCATTTGGTCGACACCAGCTGGCAGTATGTGCTCAAGGAAAAGGCCGAGGACATGGTGCATGTCCTCCAATTTCCATACAACGGAGAGCCTCCCGGAGTAAGTCTGATGGCCTTTGATCTTATCGAGAGAAGATGTCGTATCTAACCTGCGTCCAGGACCGTCTTGTTTCAACCGAGATCACCCGCAACGAAGACTTTTTCGTCCGCAACCATGGCGGTGTTCCTGAAATTGATGCTGACAAGTATTTTCTCGAGATCGATGGCCTCGTCAACAATCCCAAGCGTCTCACCCTCGCCGACCTGCAGAACGAAGAGTTATTCCCTCGCGAGACCAAGGTCGTCAGTCTCCAATGCTCCGGTACGCGCCGGCTTGAACAAATCCGCCAATATCCCGGCGATGGCGACGAGCTCATCAACGCTCCTTGGGGTGAAGGCGCCATCGGTACCGCCCGCTGGACCGGTGTCTCTCTCAAAAAGGTCATCAAGCATTGCGGTGGACTGAAAGACGGCGCAAAGCACATTGAGCTTTTCGGTGCTGACACCTACTTCAAGAAGGGCAAGGTGTACAACTACGTTGTATCCATTCCCTGGCGCAAGGTCAAGATCCACGAGGTGCTCCTGGCATGGGAGATGAACGGCAAGCCGTTGCCCAAGATCCACGGCTTCCCCCTCCGTGCGGTCGTCTATGGGTACATCGGCGCCCGAAGCTGCAAGTGGCTGTACAGGATCCGCGGTATCACGGACCCGAGCGAGGCGCCCGTCCAGAGAAAGGAGTACCTCTACTACACTCCTCAGATCGGCAAACAGAACGCCTTGTACAGCAACGGCTTCTCGATCCAGGACATGCCCGTTTCTTCGGCGATTATCTCTCCCAAGGATATGGATGTCATCACGCACGACGGCAAGGTCAAACTGAGAGGCTGGGCCTTCTCGGGGGGTGGACACTGGCCGATTCGCGTGGAGGTTAGTCCTGATGGAGGCGCCATCTGGTATGAAGTGCCGACAGAGAATATGTCGACCAAGTACTACTACGCTTGGAGACTTTGGGAGATCGACCTGCCTGTTGATCCCGAGGGCTGGCTGGAGTTTTGCGTGAGGACGTGGGATAATGCCATGAACACCCAGCCGACATATGTCAGATCTGCCTGGTGAGTTGCCTTCCTTTGCTTCCCCTGGTGTGATGTCTGGGTTGAAAGGTCAAATACTAACAAAGTCCCAATTGCAGGAACTGGGATTTGCACGTCACCTCCTCTTGCCATCGTATCAGGGTCTACAGCGTCAACCGCTCGAAGCCTCTTACCGCAGCGCGGTTGAAAGCATTGGAAGAGCACGGTATACCGCTCACGCCCATTACCAAACCTTTGCCCATCGAGCTCGAGACGGACGAGCAATACCAGGCGTCCATGGCAGAGCAACGCGGACGGGACCCTCTTGAGTAGGTATGTCTGAGGGGTTTCTGATACGGTGAACGTCGAGAATTGGAGAGGTCTATGACGTGAAGGTCCTCTGTGCAATCTGGTCAACCATCGTCAAGATTCAATCCTTTTTGTTTTCTTTTTTTTTGTTTCACATACCGGCCTGAACTCAAATATGTCGTAATAGTTTTAGCTCATGAACGTGATGGCCATTGAATGCATGGCCTGCTTGCATAATCCCTACTGGACAGTGGAGAGCCGGGAAGTAAGTGCCGAATTCAAGATCCTTCTTGGTATCGGGGTTGGTGCCTGCCTCAACCCGTTGTTGTCAAGTCATCATCCTGGACACCGAGCAAAAAAAGAAAGGGGAAAACCGTTCAGGGCAACCAGGGACCCCAGGTGATCAACCGCCAATCCACCACAACAGCAAAAAGCCCAACGTGGGACTCGAACCCACAGCCTCAAGATTGCGATCTCGAAGGAGAATAGAAGTCTTGCGCGCTACCGATTGCGCCAGCCGGGCAAGTTATGTGTTTGTGTTGTCGTGACTTTATGATAATATATTGGTGGGTCTTGACACGAGAGACATGCTTTTTCTTTTTGTGGGAAACCATGAACGGCTTTTGCACAGCACATGCAAAGACAGTAGAAGTGCCTCCTGTGTATGATAGATACGAAAATTTGAACCTGACTATAGCTGCACCAATGGTTCTATAGATAACGGACTGTTCTGTTAGCATGTTGTGCGTCCCAAATGCACACTACTCTATAAATTCAACTTTCTGTGATGCTACCGCTTTTCGACAATCTCAATCGCTCTCCTGCTTCAAAGGATGAGGACACGAGCGTAAAAAGACAGTAGAACATTCTCTACAGATGGGAAGAGTTTCGAGGCTCTCGGGGCCAGCGCACATGTGCACCAGATGATAATCAAAGCACTCAACAGGAAATCTCTGATTGCTCAGTCGCAGTGAGGGTGCCTCTTGGCGAG